ACCGTTGCTGTTGATAACAAGAGGGCCTGTCGCTAAAATGAAGAGTCAAGCGATCGGCACTCGGCGGCGCAACCCTCCGTCCACGCTGCGTCTTTCTGCCCCCCCCCCACCACAGACAAAGCGTTCAGCTTCTTTTCTTTTTGTGTTCTGTGCGATGTCGCTTTGTGAACGCGTCCATCAGCGTGCGCCGAGCGGGCCCTGCTTGCACGTGTGTGTGTGTGTCGGGTTACGACTGCGCGTCCCCGGGAAGCCGTGGCGATGTTCCCTGGTGATAACTCCCTGCGCGCCCGCGCTTAAAAGCGAGGACTCAAGCCCGGCACTCGGCGTGGCACGACACGGCCAGGGAGTGGGTGGGTGGGTGGGCGGGCGAGAACCGGACCCTGCCTTATCAACGAGGATCACAGAAACCCGACACCGGCTCGGGAGAGTCTTAAGAACCTGAAAGGTGCTGGGGGTTTTTTGCACATTTTTGAGAGCACCTCTGTGAGCAACTGCTGCGCATATATACGTACAGTACGTTGAACTTCTTTCGCGCCGTACGTAGCCAACCGTGCTAATCAGAGGTGCGGGGGAAGGAAAGCAAATTAAACACAGAAAGCAGTTATAAATGAGATGAGTTTTCAATCTCGCTGATTTAAAAGTGGATAGCTCCAGTGGCTTCCTAATGCCGGAAGGCAGAGCACGTTCCAGACGTCCGCAGAAGCGCGTCTGAAGGCGCGCGATGCAGTGACTGTCTTAGTTCGATGGTTAGCCAGAAGCCGCTGCGAGGATGACCGGAGTTCGTGAGATGGTTTATGCATGCGGCAATCGGGGCCACTGGTGCTACTGGTGCTGCTGCTGCTGCTGCTGCTGCTGTTGCTTCTGCTATCTCAGCAAATGCAGAGTTGTCACCGTGCGGCGATGGTTTTTGGCACCGCGTTGAGGGGGCGGTGGCGAGTGGAGTGTGGGTGAGAGACGGGGAGTGGGGGGAAGGTGTTTGTGCCAAACGGACAACTGGCAGCTCCCACTCTTTGGCCCGGAGCTCTCAAACTCGCCGCTCCATGGGGGGCTTTAGGCCAGAGCCAGATTTCCACGTCAGCCAGCGAATAGATGCGCCGAGTGCCCCCCCACCCCCACGTGCACACGGCTCATTTGGCACATACGAATTCTGCGTTCAAATAAAATCCACCACTGTCACCTCATCGCTGATGCTATCGTTGGCGCTATTGTTGGCGCTGTTGTTGTTGGTGCCGTTGAACGGAGATTGTTCCGTAGAACTGACGACGTCCTTGTTTGTTATCTTGAGCAGAGCCGCAGGGGGGAATTGAGAGAGGCGGACGGAACCCACGTCAACATAGTGGACTGCAGCAGCTGCTCAACCCCAGAGGTGGTTGGGGCGCCACGGTGGCGAGGTGTTAACTACCTCGCCTGGTATACAGGAGGTCGTGGGTTCGGTCCCGACCCTGACGCCTGCTGTATAATTGGAGTTTGCGTGTCTCTCTCTCCCAGTGGTGGCGTGGATTTTTCTCTGGGTCCTCTGGTTTGTTCCCACCACATCCAGAAGCGTGCGTTTCGAGGGTGTTTGGCTGCTATAAATTTCCACGTGATGAGCCACATTTTCGTTCATCAATAATTTGCGATAGCCAGGTCGCTTCTGAAATAAAGGGCTATTATATAGCTCAGTGGGTCTCACCTGGTTAAATAAACATAGTTCATAAAGAGTTTTTGTTAGCTTATAGGTGGATGCTGGGACCAACAACTGAGAAGCCTCCTCCGGGCGCAGAGCGAGACTCGCGTTACAAGGCCTACGCCAATATTAGTCTCTCTCTCAGCCTGCCGATGGAACTGCCCCCCCCACCCCCACTCTACCAATCCCACAAGTAAAAACCCTCGATGCACGCGCGCAAGAAACAGCACGAGCGTGGCAACCCGAATCAAAACGGTTCAAAAGAACGTGACGACGGGGAAAGCCCGTCGCGGCGGCGGCCGCAAAAATCGACTCGGATGTTCACGGCCGCGATTTCTACGATCCGCCGTTCGATCTGCGCAGTGAAGGTTCGAGCGCGAGGGGTCGGAGCACGCGTGCCCAATCCGCGGCCACGGGTGGTGCGACGCCTCGGGTGAACGCCTCCCCATGCCACGTCGGTCATGGGGGGAGGGGAGAGAGGGGGGAGTTGTTCGACTACGCGGGCCACGGGTGTTGAAGGAGGGCGAGCAACACGAGTTAGATTCCCGGCCGCGGCTAACATGAGCGGCGGGGTGATATCTGAACCAGTCCTGAGCGTCCACCCTTCGACCCACACTGACCAGCGTGGTGAAGTACGGCCAACGCAGCCCTCGTGACCGACAGTTTAGGGGAGGCCTTCATCCAGCAGTGGACTGGAAAAGGGCTGTGAATTATTATGATTCGGTATTTTCTTTCAGGAGACGGTGGCTGAGAAGTGACTCGTCACATCTGTGGAGCTACCTCCCCAGGCTCGGCCCTTTCTCCCCGTGCTCGCGCCGCGTCAAAAATCCGGCGCGCAACGGCCGCCGCACGGCCTGGCCTGCGCGAGCGATCGGCCCAACGAGCCGGGAAGGCGGCGGCGGCAGCATCTCTCGCGGCCGTTCCTTTGGCGGGAGCGAGTTTCTCCACTGGACAACCACTGTTGACTCCCCCCAAAAAGCAGTGCTCGTTTTATCATTCTCCGGAAGAGTTATTCGCCGAGTCAACCCTCAACCAGAACGTGAGCTCCCAGCGTCCCGAGTGCCGCTCACAACTGCCGAGACGCCGGGGCCGGATCGGATTACCACGAAAGCCGCCACCAACGCACCAGTGAAAAAAGTAAAAAGTACGGCTTTTGCGTCTCGATTTAATTCGTATTCTTTGTAAAGAATCCGCCTTCTGGGTCAAACTCGATTTAACAAAAAAATCAATGCAGCCAAGCGGCCTTAGGAGCAGTAACGACGACGTGAGGAACACGTGGGGTTGTTGTTGTTGTTGTCGTTGTTTTTGTCGTTGTTGTTGTCGTTGTTTTTAACTGGGTTGGCAAACGACTCGACAACACGAACACCCGCCAGTACCCTTCCACGCACAGGGCGGCAGGCGGCGTCGCGTCAGCGCACAACTCTCTGGCGTAGCCCCGGGAACTGGCGCGCGCTCGCGACGAGTGAGGCCGAGTGAACCGTCCCGACGAGGGCTTCGTAATGGGAGCTAATGGGGGCGACTCGGCGTAACCTCCCCCCGCACACAGCACCCCCCCCCCCCCGCACACAGCCCCCCCCCCCCCACACACCGCCCGCCGCTCCACGAGCAGCAGCAGCGCGGCGGGCCAGGAAGCGCCGCCGCATTCCTTCACCGCCGCCGCCACCACAGGGTTTTTTTCTTCCCCTTCTTAAAACTGAACACACGGACACGCCGAACACGAGAGCCCGCGCTCAGAAGACAAAGGCTCCACCCCCCCCCCCACCACCGTGCAGCCTGGAACAAGCGGTTTGGACAAAGTGCCGTTCTTGCGAGCAGCACCTACGAAGGCCGGCGCGGCGCACCAAGGGGGTGGGTGGCCAGCACCACGCCCGGCCGCCTTTGTCTCCCCAGTGGCGACGTTTACCACGCACCGCACCGGTTACTCGTTTGAGGGCGAGCGGACCTAGGGGAGGGCCCAGGACCGGTTCAGACAATTGTCACCGGTGTCGGCCGTGAGCAGGAATCGGATTCGGGGTTGCCGGGTTTGCAGCGCGGCGCGCTAACCGCTGCGCCACCGCTCCCCACAACAACAACAACCGCCATTCTCCATTCAGTGGATGTGACGTCACCACGGCGCTTGTGCCAGGCTATGTGCACACCGATCCCCACACGCACACGCAGACACAATCCCAAAAACCAAAACAGATCCCGCACGGCCATCCCAAAACACGAATCCAAACCGCGACATCGAACGCAAAAGCAGGGGGCACCAACGGCAGAGGGACAAGGAGTCGGGTTTCTCTTTGGGCGCTGGCGTTAAGCGCCGCGATGGATTGGTATTTCTCCACGCACAGTCGGCTCTCGCGCCATTCCCACGGACAGGGTAATTTAACGTCGCGCGATCGCGTGTTGAATGCGATCACGCGTTGAACGCCGTAACCGGAGAGGGCGTTGTGTCGTCGCGTTCACAGGTAAATACGATCATCGGCGAGCCCGCGAGAGAGAGGGATGCCTGCAAGGACTGCTGGGATGGCCGCAGCTGTGGATTGCACTTTTATTGTTGCCTTTAAAGCAAAGCAGCTGTGCAGTCTGGCTCGCAGTGCTTCTCCCATAACTCTGATTGCTGCCGATAGACTTCCTTAATTTGCTCTCCAAGTTATCGGTCTTGGCCGTTTCCTCCGAATGTAAAGAATTCTAAACGACTTCGCCGGGCCGGCTCATGTGGGTGGGTGGTGGTGGTGGGGGGACCCACGGCTTGAGTGCAACCGCCGTGAAGAGGCGCTGTTGTTTGCGTTCGTGCCGCACACACCCCCGCGGTAGCCGCAAATGTGGCGAGCGACGGGTCACGTGTTCTTTATTGCGATGTTGTTTCCCTCCCACCCCCCTCTTTTTTTTTCGCGAGCCACTTTGTAACGAAGAATTTTAAATGGCTATTTCTTAAAAGCTATTAAGCGCTCGCAATTTGACTTTCCGGGAGGCACAATTACACGCCATTAGCCGCCATTTGTTGCCGCATTTTTTTTTATATAGCAGCAGAAGCAGTGCAGGCCTCATCGTCGAGCAGGCTATCTGAGAGGCAGATATACGCGGCGTCGCTTCCAGATGAACCGCCGTCCGGCGGCACGAAGGGTCGCGGCGAGACTCATCCCTTCTTCGCCCGAGGCGTTGGGCGCCACGCTCCGTACCGCCCAGGTGCCAGGGCCGCCGACTTGTGTCTCGTCGCCTAGGGTATCTTAACTCTTTGGTTTTTTTGGTAAAGTCACGTAGGTGAAAACAAAATCAAATAAAACAACTAAATTAAATCTTGTGCAGCCCAGTTCTCCCGCACCGCGCGCTGGGGGGGACGGTCACTCACCTCTGTCTGCGACGAGGAGCTGCGCACCCGCCTGCACGTTCCCGTGCTCGTTCTCCGCGACGCACTGGTACATCCCTTCGTCCGACTTGACGACGCCGAGAATCTTGAGCGTGTGCTCCTCCTAGACCGGGGCGGCGGCGGCGGAAAGCATCAATGAACGAGGCCCGCGTCTCTCTCTCGCACGTTACGCTCGAGTCGCGGGCACAGCCGCGAAAGTATCGGTGCGAGCGGGCGAGGGGCTTGCTCCCCTGCTTGCTCCGTCGCCAAGGGCTCTGCGCGGACGATGGGTGGCGAGGGAATTCTGCCCGTGCCTGTCCCATGTGTGCAATATAATATATAATGATTATGATAATTATTGCTGTTTTCATAATTATTATTTGAATTATTTACGTGGTATTTTCACGGTGTAATCACACTCATTATTATGGTTATATTATTATTGTGGTATAATTAATATATAACAATCGTCAAACGTATGCAAGCGTAAGTGGTCAAAATCGGGGTCGCAAAGGTCTCCACGACATGAGACCGCCCGCTGTGTCAGGAGCGCGTTGCAGCATCGCAAGGGAGCAGGTCGTTAACACCGATAACGAATTGGCCCAGCAGCCCAATTAGAGTCTGTACAATGAGTCAGACTCTCCTGGATTGAGGGCAATTAATATTGATCGCAGTGGAGTGGCGGCGGTGTGGTTGGCACACACGACGCGATGCACCCAGCACCCCGGATTTGCTCCCCTGCGAGCAACATCGAATCCGGTCCCGGGGCTCCCCCCCCCCCCGTCCCCTTCACCAACCTGTAATGACCAGCATGGTGACCAGCGTGATGGTCAAACGAGCCCTCCGACCGACACGTCGTGGGAAGGCCTTCGTCCGGCCACGGATTGACAATGGGGGAGGGGGGGGGCCGTGAAGGCCACGGGCCGCGGTTCTCACCGCGATGTGGAAGTAGTCGCCGGGAATGACGGTGTCGCCGTTTTTAAGCCACTTGATTGAGGGCGCGGGGTTCCCCTCCACGCCGCACGCCAGCTCCACATCCGCGCCCTCGTGCGCCAGCGCGTCCCGCGGGGGGAACGAGAACCGCGGGGGAGCTGTGGGACAGCGGCGTTCGCATCATTCACCGGCACACCGCGCGCGACCGTTCAGACCCACGCCGTCCACCGTGTTATCAGAGTCTTGCACTTGATGTCGGCCTGCGAGCGAGGCCATTATGCAAAACATTCTCATTTAATGCTTTGCATTGAGCTAATCGCGTCGTGAAAACGTCACATTATCCACGCTGAATAATAGCGTTCGTTGTGAAGCAGTTATAGACATAAGGACATTTACTTACCGTGATGCTCCTGCTCTTAGCTAGTTAAGCGGTGCGTGGCGAGACGCACGCACAGAGCAGCCGACGAGCACAGCAATGCAAGGCACGGCTCAATGCAGTCATTCACATCAAGAAGGTTGCTTGTTGTACGACTACCCGCTCACCACGCCAGCGCTTGATTATAATTCAGCAACGCAGCGAAAGACCTTCAGTCGACTGCTGCTCATTAGCGCACGCACGAAGCCAGCAGAGCTGCGATCGTAAATGGGCTCATCAACAGAGTTGATTTCAAATGCCCACGGTTCTGTGGCTGGCACGAGGCAGGATGCCAGGACTGCCCAGATGCACTGGCGCCGTTGAGCCTGTGCCCTGTGCGCACGGGCAGCGCCAGCCACTCCTGAACGGTTGCCGGCCCGCAGAGATTTACCCGTGGAGGAGCATGTGCATACATGTACATACATGTACATACATGTACATACATGTGCATACATGTACGTACATGTACATACATGTACGTAGCCAACCGTGCTATTCAGAGGTGCGGGGGGGCATAAGCATTATTTACAAGGGCCTATTCAAGCCAGCGGAGGAAAATATGGATTTGTGTGGCCAGCACCATGCCCAACCACCTTTGTCTTCCTAGACCGGGGGGGGGGGGGGGGGGGCGTGACGCAGGTCTGCCCTTGCGAGAGAGACCGTTTGTTGTTTCAAGCGTCCCAATGTTTCTATTTCATCTCCTGGGTTAAGGGAACAACAACAACATTAACATCCCCTTTGTCCTGGAGGCCCCACGAGCAGCACGAGCACCATCCCCTCCACCCCGCATCAACGTTCCCTAATCTTCTCATTAGCCCCGAAGGAATACTGGACAGGAGAATCAATGAATGTCCATCTCCCCCTCCGTAGCCTCACTCGCGACACCGCTCATTTTTTTTCCGCCTTCAAGATTAGCGAGCGAGCTCCACCATCACCAGCAGCGCTAACAAAAACACTCGACCGCGTCACATCTTTAATTCAGGAACCTTTTGGCTCCAGGGCTCATGCTGTGCGACTTAATTAATGACCTTTACTTAAGCGGCAGTAGCGGTAGCAGCGGCTTTCAGGCATCCTGCAGATTCGGGGGCGGTGCGTGGGGGTGGTGGTGGTGGTGGTGCCGCACAACGCGATTGCCAGCTGTGGAATTTAATTTATTGATTTTTATTTTGTTTAAAAAAAAAAACAGCGTCTCGCAAAAGCGCACGCACCGCTCGCAAAGTGCTCAGCTGGTTTCCTCCGGAGCGAGCGCGGGGGGGCGGCGGAGGGAGCAGCCTGAGCGGGCGTCCCCAATGAACTCGCGAGGAGTAAATAATTGATGGAGGCAGGGACCCTGGGAGGCCGGCACCGGCCAAGACAACGGCAGCGTGGCGGGGGGGTCGGTAACAGAAATGAAAAGCGATCGCTTGGGCCGCGCGGACACTCTTTTGTTCGTTGTGGGCCTTCCGAGGCAGGCCTCGGAGAGGTGCCCTTGAGCTGGAAACGTGCAGTGGGACGGGGGATACAGGGTGCTTCAAAAAAATGTTAACACTTATATTGGACTATCGTTTTTAATGGAAAAAGAACGGACAATGCACTGTAACGTAATAACTAATGTATGTTAATGTCTTCAAAAAGTCAAAGTCTCCACTTGCTTGCCATCGTTGTCAACGCGTGCCTGGAATCTTCTCCAGGTGGTCTCCAGAGCCCGGTGGCAGCACATTTCTCGTGGTTTTGTTGCAAAGTCTCAGCAGTGTTCAAAACATTTTGAAGCACCACGCTGTGTTTCAGCTGCGATAATGCTAATGGGAGAACGAGCTCACGGGAAGTCTCTCCGTGGGACTCTGAGACCCAGAATAATTCGTCACCTTCATCACCAAAATCAAACTCACCAATATCCGTATCTTCGTCCGCACCATTACTCTACTTATTACCATCATCACAGTTACCTTAATCGCCATCTTCATCATCATCAAACCTTCAAACTATTATTCATCGTTGTGCTAATCACAATTATCATCATCATTGTCACAATTATCCTTGTAATCAATTCCACCTCGTCAATTCCTATAACGGATGAGATCGCTAAAGGCTCTCTCGCTTGCCAGCGAACTGTGAGCACCCAGCGGAGAATTCTGACACCGCACCGCTCACGGGAAGGGGGCCAAAGGTCCCACCGCAGCCACCGGCGTCGACTAAACCCCGTCTGCCACTGCCGTCGCCATCGGCGAACGAGCCGGCGCGCGTGGAGCACCGTCGTGAATGAGAAACCACGAACGGAACTCAAACTTGAATTGCCACGAGAGTACGGTATTTTAAAATGCTTCTCTCAAAACATCGTCTTCGACGGGAGGGACGGGAACCCCGACTGCGCGAAGCCAGACGTGCGCGCGACAATTTAATTCACGCGATTAAATTCGGCAATATTGAGTGGCAACTTACACCCAATAATTGCGTTTAAATAGATAAAAGCTGCTAACGAACCCAAGTAGCGCGCTGTAATATTGGTGAACAATCGAACGCCTAATTGCTCGCGAGGGATTCAATTTGTGCGATGAAATTCAAATGAAATGGCGGTGGGCAAGGTCGCCAACTCACTCAGGGCTTTGTCCACTTGGATTGAGCTCTTCGAAGACTAGTGAATAAAAAAAAAATTTAAATACCCATTATCTACGGGACTTTTTTGCCAGTTTCAAAATGATGAAAATAAAAAATAAAGCAAGGATAGGTTTTTACCCTTTCTGGAAATAAAACAGGAGTAAGTTAATGATGTTCAAACACTAAATAGATACCCCTTTGCAAGGCATTAGGTCTGCATTAACCACACATATTTGTGGCAAAACAATGCAAACAAGCATGCTCGTATAATATATGCATTGTCTTTGAAAGTGATTGGCCTATACCAGAGACAGCCTTCCTTTAATGCGTATATTATCAAAGCATACTTGTTTGCATGCTTCACCACGACCCCAGACTGTGTCAGCCTCAAATCTAACGACCCCTCGTGTTCTTCACACACGCCCGCGTTTGTTGCGATCAACCCCTCCCCCCACCCCACGTGTACAACGACGCAGCCGATTAGGACATCGATTGCCGCGATAGACGATTAATGCGCCTCGGTCCGCCAAACCCAGCTATGACCGTGTTGCCTGGCAAACGGTTCCCTACAGGTTCCCGTTCGGAATTGTAGCCGCCGGCGTGCTGACAAACAAACAGACGGCAGTCACGATTCCACGACTTTCTGTCTTTTTCGATGACGAAGAGGGTAAAACGAGAAATTGGCAACGATCGAATCGGCTGTCCGCGTCACACGAAGCGGCACAACACAAATGGGGGGGGAGAGGGGAAGGTTACAGATCAGGGGCGGGGGAAACCTACGGCCTGCGACCAGTTCAGCGTGGCCACTAACGAGGCCCACCACTTGGAAACAACCCACAGTCACTTCCCTCACCGCGCGGACCTCATGCGGTCACATAAGTGACCTTGGTGTGTGTGTGGCTGACCGCTAAGGATATTTGAAAATCCTGTTTTCGACCGCAGGACAACGTTCCCCACCGCTGAGGGTGAAGGTCGAGAGGTCATAATTCCAATGATGCCATCACACCGCGCCATCGCTTCCTTCCCCCTGCTGGACCCGGTATCCGAGGTGACGCGTGCGCATGCGTGCGTGCGTGCGTACGCATGTGCAGACAATTATCTAAACCAGACTCGGGCCTCCCCTAGCCTCTAATAAGGTCGACTCATCGCCGCTATGGAGACAAAGGCGGGCGGACATAGTGGTGGCCACCAACCCCCTCGTGTTGCTGTGCCGGCCTCCATAGGTGCTCGCTAACAGCACTTGTCACAACAGCCTGTTCAGGGTATATGGGGAATCTCTGTCTGTGTCTGTACGTGCCTGTGTGTGCGTGCGCAGAGGAGAGAGACAGGAGGCGGCTGTGTGGATGCGAGGGAGGATTGGGCAGTGAGGGTGTGAGAGAAGAGGTGGCTGGGTGAAGAGGTGGAGGCTGGGTGAGGGGGTGGAGGTGGAAGCTGGGTGAAGAGGTGGAGGTGGAGGCTGGGTGAGGAGGTGGAGGTGGAGGCTGGGTAAAGAGGAGGTAGAGGCTGGGTGAGGAGGTGGAGGTGGAGGCTGGGTGTAGAGGTGGAGGAGGCTGGGTGAAGAGGTGGAGGTGGAGGCTGGGTGAGAGGGTGGAGGTGGAGGCTGGATGAAGAGGTGGAGTGGAGGCTGGGTGAGAGGGTGGAGGTGGAGGCTGGGTGATGAGGTGGAGGTGGAGGCTGGGTGAGGAGGAGGTGGAGGCTGAGTGAGGGGGTGGAGGTGGAGGCTGGGTGAGGAGGTGGAGGAGGAGGTGGAGGAGGAGGCTGGGTGAAGAGGAGGTGGAGGTTGGGTGAGGGGGTGGAGGTGGAGGCTGGGTGAGGAGGTGGAGGAGGAGGAGGTGGAGGCTGGGTGAGGAGGAGGTGGAGGCTGGGTGAAGAGGAGGAGTCTCACCGTGTACGGTGAGCACGGCGCTGGCCTGCATGGTGTCGGCGCCCTCCCCGACGGTGCAGGAGTAGAGCCCCGCGTCCCCCGGGGTCACGACCTCCACGAGCAGGTGGCCCCCGCCCACCACCTTCACGTGCTCGCTGCGGAGGGTGGGGTGGGGGGGTGGGGGGATGGGGCGTCGAGCGCTTGGCATCAGTGGGCACCGTCGCCGCCGCCGTGCCAGCCGCTCCACCGTCGCCAGCCAGCGTCTCATGAGCTGTGGTGCCAAATCGGCCGCCAGCTACCGAGAACATCTGATGACGGTTCCACGTTGCTATGCCGGGGCCGCGTCTATCCATAGCAGCTGTCGACTTTTCGCCGAGCGGTTATCCCATTAAGCATTAAGCATACCGTGGGTGTTCCTTAGGTGTACAAGATACCGCTTCCAAAATATTTAGGTGGAAAAAACCGTTCAAGTGACCCCAGGATTGATGCTGGTCTATCAGGTCAAGTCAAGGGGAGGGTCATTCTCGGGGTCGCTGTGAATAAAACTAAAAAAATATAATTATTTTACCAGGTAAGGCTAACTGAGCTATATAGCCCAATTAAGTGGCTTATCATGTGCAAATGTATAGCAGCCAAATACCCTACAACGCACTTGATTCTAAATGTGGAGGACCTGGAGAAAAATCCACGCAACCACGGGGAGAACATCGAGGTGTCGGGGCCGGGATCGAACCCACGAGCTCCTGCGCACCAGACGAGGTAGTCAACATCTCGCGTCGCGTGGACCGGGCGTCGCGTGCCCGTGGCCTCGCAGCGCCCAAAGGCAGCGGGCCCTACGAGCGCCGAGTGTGGCTCCCGCCCGGGCTGGGCATCTCACCTCTCGTGCACGGCCTTGCCTCCCTTCTCCCACCGGACAGTGGGCCGGGGAAACCCACTGGCCGAGCACTCCAGCATGGCGGCCTGGCCCAGCAGCGCCTCCACGTCCTTGGGCACGCGCAGGAAGGCGGCCCGCCGAGCGACCCCCGGCTCTGCGCACACACGCGCAAATACACACGTGCACGCATTCAGACGCTGTCTTTCCGACAGACCTGTTCTTCACCTGAGGACGGCTGCTTGCGTTGTGGCCGAAACGTCGTGAGAATTATATTATTGTTTGATTTTTATTATTTTATTATTTCCCTTCTACGTGACTTTACCGAAAGAACCAAGAAGATGAATCCCTGCAGTCACGAAAGCTTTAAATCGAAAAAACACGCGCACCGCCGTGAATACAAAACGTACGTGGTGGGATTTAATGCAAAGTTTCAGACAACTTTGTCAGCTTGAGAAGCTGCTGCGAATGCAACCGCTATTGCTGATGCTGCTGCTGCTACTGCTGCTGGTTGTGATTGACGACCGCGACGTACCAGGCACCACCGTGAGTCGGATGTCGTCGCCCGTCCGGGAAAACGCCGCGTTCTCCGCCACGCATCGGTAGGTGCCGGCGTCGGAGGGCTCGGCGCGGGAGATCTGCAGGGCCCCGTCTGGCAGCGTTACAACTCGGCGCGCCGCGCCCGGCTCCCCGCCCGGCTCCCCGACGTCCTTGATCCACCGCACCGACGGCCGCGGCTCCCCGCTCACCTCGCACGGCAGCACCGCGCCGTCACCGGCGTGCACCGACACGTGGCCCGGGCCGGCCGCCACTCGCACCGCTCCTGTACGGCAAGGACGCTCAAGCTCAGCACGACACTCACGCACGGCCCTCACGGCGTCACCCAGTACGACTCACGGCACTCAGCATCACTCAGCAGCCTCACTCTGCCTCACTCAGCAACCTCACTCAGCGTCACTCAGCGTCACATAACCAAGGTGGATGAGCATACATTGGGCCAACTCCAGCAGTCACCCCGAGGCAGAGCAAGGCACTGGTGCGTGTGTGCTTGCGTCTCATTGACAGAGGGCCCTGATGCGGGGGAAGAGCCCAGGGACCACAAAAAGTCGTCTGGGGGAGTTGCGGTCGACTCTGCATATTAAAAGTCCCCGCGCGCGAGCGTCGTCCCTTCCGCCGCGGGACGCACCCGTTTATCCCGGCACCGAAAGTAATTCCCGAGGGCCGCCCGCACACGGCACAGCCGCGTGCACACCGGCGGTACCTCGAAGACGCACGGAGGCGTTCGCGGACTCCGGTGGCTTATTCTAAGAGCATTCTCACGGCGCGCGACTTCAACGCTCCGGCAATCACCGACATATCCGGAGACATTCAACCCTCGGGGGAGGGCGACGCTGCTGCCGCCCTCCCCCCCCGTCTCTTGTTCTCCGTCGCCGACGGCGGCACGGAGCGACACGCTCGCAAATTAACTTAGTTAATTAGCAAAATACGTGCCCGCGTTCTGCGTCCAAGGTCAAAAAAAGAGATTGTAGGGGGGGGTGGGGGGGCAGTGGAAAGCGAGCCCTCGAAATCGGGCCTCGGGAAAACGCGGGCGCATTCACACGGCGGGCAGGCGAGAGGGCGAGAGGGGCGGCGAGCGGAAAGGAGGACAGGCGGGCGGGCGAGTCGGGCGCTCATCCATCATGCCGGTCTCTGTGGCATTCTTGAGAGCGAGAGAGCGGACGGGCGGGCGGAACACGTGAGGATGGCGGTTGATGGGAGGCGGGCGCTGAGGTGGCTGTGCTGGGGAGCGGTGGGGGGGGGAGGGGAGCGGGCGGGGGGGGAGGAGGGGTGGCGACGCAGCGGTGGCTCGAAGGGGAGAAGAGTTTTCACGGCAAAAGGTTGTGTTTGCTCAGTTGAGTGAGATTCCGTTGCTCAGAAAATTCCTGCCCGCCTAATGTAACTCTAGCGCGCGGGGCGCATTCATCTTCTCCGCCACTTAAAAAAAAAAAACAATAAAAAAGGGTCGGGCTCCTGTAAAAGCTTTGGAACGGAGGAGCGCGAGGGGTGGCGCAGCGCGCTGTTATTGCAGCCCGGGACTCGAGTTACCGGGGTATTGCATGTCGCTGCTATGCAACTCGGGGGAACCCAACAAAAACACCCGTTTCAACGTTGCATTTCGCTCGACTGTATATAGCTTGCCGATTGCAATCTGCAAAGATCAGGCCGCTCGAGAAGTCACGAATACCGCGGGATACCTCGGCCGGCGCATCACCGCGCGGCAACGCTCTCGGGACGAACGGTCGCTCTCACCAAGTCGGCGGTGTGGGCCGCCTGACCAGTTTCCTGCCACGCGGCGTCCCAGCGCCTCGGCGCTCTTCTTGGTGGACATTCCACAACCCCTCCTGACTCTTTAACAAGGTGGGGGGAGTGGGGTGGGGGGTAGATATTGACGAGCGGGACGCTCGCGGGGGAGACCCTCCTCCGGGACGCTGCCTCGCAACGGCGAGCAGGGGACCCGTCGTCGTCCTCATCGTCGGCGTCACCATGGTTACTCGGCGGGGCCTTGCGATGCTGGCCTGGGCCCAAAGGAAGCACCGTGCCAGCTCCACCAGCGCCAGACGGTGGGGGGAGAAGCCTCACCCCCACATAATAATTTTATTATTAACTGCGAACGTCGCGTTTTGAGTGTTCATGCGCACAGGGTGGGAGTTTGTCGGAAACCGAGCGTCTCATAAAGTCACGGTGGCTAGGAGATGTTAACTACCTCGACTGGTATACAGGAGGTCGTGGGTTCAATCCTGACCCTGACGATTGTATACTTGGAGTTTGCGTGTCTCTCTCTCTTCCCGTGGTCGTTATAAACACGCGTTTCGAGTATTTGGCTGTGACAAATCTCCACGTGATTGTGCTATCATTTGTGAGGTCGCTTCTGAAAGAGAGCTACATAAGCTCAGTGGGGCCTTGTATGGTAAAATAAAAACAGTTTGTAGTTTGTTTGTTTGTTTGAGTTGCACTGCACCTGCCCTGCACCCACCACTTCCTCCTCCCCATTGTTATCATTGAGGATAACGACCTCCGTGCCGAGGTTTGACGATTTACAATGGAGGTCTCGCACGACTCGCGCGTTCAAATTGTGCACCCCGTGCAAATCCCGCCACAATTAGCCACGCGACCGACTGCGTGTTTCCCGGAAGTGAAACGTAAACGCCGCCACGCTCGCCTCTTTGCTAACTCGGCGAAATGGAAGCCGCCCGCTGGGCGACCGCGCGTCGGAGAATCCTCCGCCTGCACGGCAAGCGGACAGCGGCAGTCAATCCCGCACGGCACCGCACCACACCGCCAACTGCAGGACGTGACCTTTCACCTGCCGCACTCACAGACCCCCATCAGCTCTATCGGCAACGTTTTTTTGAAACTTTCCCTGCAATGATTATGCAAGCTGCCTTTATTGCTCCTTTCAGGGCCCACGTGTTTCTGCTGCACCCTCCCTCGGCTGTGCCCGGGATTATTATTTTACGATCCCCACACTGTGCCCCCCCCTCCCTCCCCCAGAGCTGCAGAGCGGAGCGGCCCCTCTGCGGGACAAAGGCAGCACTCGGCAGCGGCCAGTCGGCTCTCCCTCTCCTCGCCGCACACCCGACTCCCCTTCTCCACAAGTCAGCGTGGCGCGGAAAGCTCGTGCTGGGCCGCCTGACTGCTCGCAGCGGAGAGGTCCCCGCGGCTTCTCTGGGTGTCTTCGCTGGACTCTGCGCATCCGCTCCACGACCTCCCTGGCCGCCTCCAAACATCCTGCACCGACGTCGACTCGCGCCCGACGGCTTTGCCCGATTATTGCTCCCCGCGCTCCCTCCTCCCGCTCGCTCTGCTCTCCCATCCTCGGTTGACAGCGCAGCCAGCGGTGGCTGCCCTCGACTGGGCGGTTTGAACGCCCCGATCGGGAGAACACGGCGCCTCGCGAGCCGGCGCGCCGTGCCGATCGTCACGGCCGCCGCTTCGCTCGTAGCGCCGTGATGCCGCCCCTCGAGCCGCCCGGCCCATCCCCCTCCGACGTCGCCACCGCCGCCCGTCGCTCCGCCGCCACGCGGGGTCAGCGGGGAGATTCTCTCGAGCGTGCGCTCCCCGTTCTGTTTGGCACGCGCAGACCAATCGCGGCTCTGTCAAGCGCTTACGCGACGCTCCGCTGCTCGACTCCGATTCCCCTTTGACCGCCCCGCCTGGGGCGTCCGTCGATCAACCTTTGCTTTTTGTGGGTTTAGTTTCTTGTCCACCCCGCACCTCCGATTAGCACGGTTAGCTACGTACGGTGCAAAAAAAGTTCAACATACGTACATTGGTGTGAGGCAAAGGCGGCCGGGTGTGGTCCTGGTCACACCGTGTCTTATATGCACCACTGCCGGCCTTCACAGCTGCTGCTTGCTAACAGCACTTGCCCCAACAGCGTGTGTAGGCTCCACAGCGGGTCTTTGTCTTTGTGTCAGGTTGGAGCTCTTGAGTGATATTTTGCGCTGTGTTTACGCGGTGCCGCGAGGAGTCACATCCCGGTTTTGTCGAAGGTGCTTGGCAGTGAAAAGCACGGAGAGATGATTGCTTGGGATTGCGGCGAGAGTCACAGAGGGAAACGTGGAGCAGAGAACAAACTCCGGTAAATTCGGTTTTCTACCTTAGTTTGCCCAGTGAATGCCGCCCTCCACCAAACAAGTTCGGGGGCGGCAAGCCACGTGGCTAGAAGAGATAATGGTGGCCGGTATGCGTGAGTCTTGAAGGAGCGACAGACGGGAGGGGTGAGGATTGCGGGGCCAAGAGCACGCTCACCACGGAGATGGAGTGATGGAATTGGCATTGTGCAGGTGTGCGATGCACATTGTTACATCGCAGGAGTGTGAGAGATGATGACGGATTGGAGGGGTGGGCGGGGCAGGTTGATTATGGCTGATGCTGATGATGATGAATTTGTAATTCTAAAGAAGGCCGGGGTGATGGGGCTGGCCGTGGTGAATCCGAACGCCCCGCTAACCAACGGGTGTCATTTACACGGCAGCGCACGCGTGCGCGGTGGGGGCCCGCGGGCACTATCGACCGCTCGCGCCCCCTCCCTGGTCTGCAGAATAAGATTAATTATCCGCCAATACAATCAGACGTCATTACCGCAGCTCGGCAGACGGGCGCGGGTGGCACCGACACACGCTGTAAAGCGCGAGGAAATGAACTCATCGATTCTGTTTACACGGATCCGGCGACGCGTTGCCGGCGGCCAGCACCGTGTCCGAACGCGGCACCTGCCGGATGCGGTGCCTGGCTTTGACACCGAGCTGCAGCGAGTTTGAACTTCGGTCCACGCAATTTCCGTGAAGGTTCGTTGCTGTGTGCCGGGCTCTCGTTAAACAAAAAACCAAAGCAAAAGAAGAAAGACCTCTTGTGTTTGTCCATCAAAATGCGAGCGACCGGATATTTGTGCCGTCGGCGTTCATTACGGGCGACGAGACCGGCCGCGCTGCATTGCGTCGCCCGACCGTGGCCGTGCAATGCAACAATGCGCGAGGGAAGGAGCGGCAATAGATGTGCGCGTGAAGACACGATCGCTCGGCACGCGCTGCCGCAGAGTTTAACCGCTCTCCACAGTCTCGAGGTGTGAGCCAATGCAATCACAACTCCGCCCCCCCCCCCCCCCCGCAATGTTTACCGAGAGAGCAATTACCTGCGCGCAAGTGCTCGAGGCTTCACGAAAGGGCAACCGGGGGCATGGGGAACGACTGCGCTCGTGTTCTCTCTCCTTCCCCCGCGCTCTCGGTGGCTGCTCGAGTTGCCGTGACGCGGTCACCGTGTCGTCCGTTCAGCAACACATCGTGACGTTGTGACTAATGTGTCTCGTAAAACTAAATCATATTTTAATTCCTGAAAAAATATGTATTTAATTAACATTTAATCAACATTCTACGAAAATAACGATTACACACATGCACAATTACAGCCACACAAAGACAAAATTACAATCAAAATGACCCTCATACGGTACCGCACACCCAACGCAATCACACACATGTGGATAGTGCAAACTTGCTCGTCCATGCTCGTGCATGCTCATTCGTGTTCCTGTGTGCCCGTGCGTGCCAATGTGCCCATGCGTGCCCATGCGTGCCCATGCGTGCCCATGCGTGCCCGTGTGTGCCCGTACCGGCGATGGAGAGCCGAGCAGCGCGGCTCACGATGGTGCCGATGCCAGGAGCCGTGGCAACGCACTCGTAGCGGCCTTCGTCCGAGCGGCTGCCCCTCCCGTGCTGCACAGAGCGCAGCAGCAGTGCGCCGCTCGCCAGCACCACCCTGCGCTCCTCCTGCTGCTGCTGCTGCTGCTCACCCTCGGCCTGCAGCGGCAACGCCAGGATGACCCCGTCGCGCTTCCACTCTACGCGCACGGCGGGCCCCACGTCGTCCTCGCCGGCGGCGCCCGACGCTCGCTCCGGCCGCGCCGAGCAGTTGAGCCGAGCCGAAGAGGCGCGCACCGCCACCGTGTCCGAGGGCTCCGTGACGAAGCGCAGCGCGGTGGCGAATCCCGGCGCCGCCGAGCCTGCGGGAAGGACGCGAGCGCGCCTGCGGTCAGACATCGGGGGCCATCGTTGCCACGCCGTCCACACGGCGGTCGAGCGAGATTCCTGCGCCAATTTAAAACACGCGACGCTGCCCGTTACCGCACTTTTGAAACAACGGGGCAGCGTTTCTTGAATCTCAGCGCCCTGAACCCCGCATCCGCCCAGCCACCCAGAGACGCTCGCGGTCAGAGAGCCTCCATGCGTCGCGTCACGTGCGCTCACGCCCGGCCAGTCACGCCACGCGGACCGTGCGCAGTAACGGTCATCGATGTAGGCACCTCAAACTTCAAACTCACCGCCCCCCCCCGCCTCTGCCTCCCCGGTGCTGTGCTTCACCATCCCCCTCCGCCACTCATTCACCCGCTTCTGTCCGAGGATCAACCGTGGCGGCCAGCGGCCTCGCTCGGCAGCACTTGGGCATGTGTAGTGTCGGCACGGGCCCCGATCGTCCACGCCGCATCGTCCGCTTGCACGGCATCTCGCGTTACCGCTCGTGCAGAGCAGCCCGGCCCAGCCAGCGCGGAGGCAAAATCTACACCGTCACGGAAAAGGTCAGCCGACCGACGGCACGTGCAAGGCCAAACTTTGAAAAGGTTAACGGCGGCCAACTCCACGGATGAGCACCACCGCGAATTAAACTGTCACTGCGCGTTCAAGAATTAATGAGACCCAAGTTCCACTGTCTCTGAACGACCAGGTGGAGACATCCTGCCAGGCAAAAACGCTCGTCGGCTGACATCCTCATTGAATTCTGGACATGGAGAGTGTTATTCACTCGAGGGCGAATATTTAAAGACATAATGAGGGAACAATGGCCTCTATATCGCATCGCAAACGTGCTCGCACAGAACCCTTTGTTATTGCGCCGCATTCATCACAAACGCCTGGGGCTCTTGGAGTGAAGCAACAAAGTCGATGAACTGACAGCGTCTGTGACAGCCGGTGCCTGTGAGTGCGCGCGTGTACGTGTGCGCGTGTGTATGTATATTGAACTTCTTTCGCACCAGACGTAGCCAACCATGCTCATCGGAGGTGTGGGGGAAGGACAACTAACTGAACACAACAACAAGCAGTTCTAAAGAAGTGAGTTTTGTCAATCTAGATGGTGATTTAAAAGTGCACAGCTGCCAGTGGCTTCCTAATATCGGAAGGAAAGAGCGTTCTGGGCGGCCGCAGTAGGGCATCTGAAAGCGCCGCGCGATGCGGTGACCACCGTCTTTGCAAGCGCGTGGCGCTCTGATCAAGACTCGGACGGAGGGCTGCGGAATGAACCCGGAGCGGGGCGGCGTCGCAGCGACGCACACACGCCAGCCCCGACGTGCCCCGGCCAACTTCGCACGACCGGGCCTCGCGCGGGAGGACGGTAGCGGCGTGGTCGCACCGACACCGGCCACGCACGCGAGCGGTGCGCCCGTCGCAAGCACGGACCGCCCCGGCCCCCGCGTCCGCCACCACCCGACCGGGACGACGGACCGATCGTTAAACCGCCGTGCCGTCCGGCGCGAGCGCACGCCTCCGGCCGGGGCGCCGGCTCCCGGGACCCGCCGGGTGCCGTCAACCCCCGAAACAACACCGCGGACCGCCATGCGCCAACCGTGTATCGGACAAGCAAGACGCTACTTCCGTGCTCTGAGAGCTTTTTTAAGATGCGCCAGGGCCTTCGCGACCAACACCATCGTTCATAATGGATTGTTTTTATTGTGGTTCGGATCGCGCAAGTACACAGTGTGTCGTAAACCCTTCTCCACCCGAAACCGCTGATTCATAAAGTTGTCACATGAACCTCCCCCCCCCCCCCCGTGAAGCTCTCGCAGTGTCCATGCGCATCGATCCAGGACGAAGGTTAACCCTGGGGAAGGCCGGGCCGAGTGGAGCGGGCGTGATTTAGGGGCGAGCGCCACAGCGATGCATACGCACACACGCACACACGCGCACCCTCCATTAAAAGGCCCAAACGCCCAGGTGCCCCCCACCCCACCGCCACCCTGCCACTCTGCCGAGGTTTTATCACCGTGGGCCTAGAGGGGTTTTAGGGGCGCAGAGAGAGAGGAAATGGCAGGGTCGGCTGTCTATAAAGGGTTTAGGTCGATGCTGCACTTTGGCGCGCGCACACACGGGCGCGCGAAAAAGACGCAGATTGCCCCGTTAATTGTTCAAGGCGTTTCGGGATAAGCGCCGCTCCTAACGGGCGCCTGTCGAGGCTGCCCACTGCATGGGGAGGAGCGGCGTGGGCAGCGTTCGCACCGGGGCAGCTGTCGTCCAGCCAACGCTGATGCTGACACGCCACCAGGTGCTCCACCTTAGGCCGAGTCAACCTAAGGAAGGCCCGATCGGTCAAGGTCCAATAACAATCCCACCTCGTGCTATTAAACCCAGGCCACGAGATACGCGGCACCGCTGGTGAACAACGCACCACTGCTCCCCCCTTGCATGCAATGCACTATACGCACACAAAGACAAAGATCCCCCGTATAGCCTTAACAGACTGTTGGGGCGAGTGCTGTTAGCGAGCAGCACCTATAGAGGCCGGCACGGCACACACCGCACCAGGTACTTATTCGCTTCTGAGTCAACCTAGGGGAGGCCCAGGACGGATTCTGATAATCGCCACTGGTGTAGACCGTGAGCGGCAATCGAACTCAGGTCACCAGGTCTGCATCGTGGAGTGCTAACCGCTGCACCACCGCTCTCCGCAGAAAGAGAAAGACACGTGTCTGTGTGTGCGTGTGTGCGTGTACGTGCGCACACGCACACCCACGCAGGAAAAACAGCTTGGGAAACGTGTGTAAACACAGTGGGCTAGGGGACACCCCAAGGTGTACAATGTTGTAAGGGATAAATTAATTGCCGTTGTAGACAGCCTTACGTCGCTTTGTTTACCATCATTAGCAGCTAACCTCGTGAGCCGACGATCTCGAGCATCACGACCCGCGTGCCTCTTCGTCGTTTCATTTAAATTGCACGGCGCATCCTCCAGATAAGGGCCGCTCAGTTTTCTTGCAAGAGGAGAGGGAGGAGAGGGAGGAGGGTGAGGAGGGTGAGGAGAGGGAGGAGAGGGAGGAGGGTGAGGAGAGGGAGGAGAGGGAGGAGGGTGAGGAGGGTGAGGAGAGGGAGGAGAGGGAGGAGGGTGAGGAGGGTGAGGAGAGGAAGGAGAGGGAGGAGGGTGAGAAGGACGAGGAGAAGGAGGAGAGGGAGGAGGGCGAGGAGGGCGAGGGAGGGCGAGGAGAAGGAGAGGGAGGAGAGGGAGGAGGGTGAGGAGGGTGAGGAGAGGGAGGAGAGGGAGGAGGGTGAGGAGGGTGAGGAGAGGGAGGAGAAGGAGGAGAGGGAGGAGAGGGGAGAGGGAGGAGAGGGAGGAGAGGGAGGAGGGTGAGAAGGACGAGGAGAAGGAGGAGAGGGAGGAGGGCGAGGAGGGCGAGGGAGGGCGAGGAGAAGGAGAGGGAGGAGAGGGAGGAGGGCGAAAAGGGATGCGTGCAGAATGAGAGAGGGCGAGAGAGTGAGCGAGAGGTGGGGGTTTACATAAACCAAAGTTATTATTAAAAAATAAATTACGAAATGATGAACGAAGCAAAGTGCCGACTACACCGAGCATCTTCTTGTTTCCACTGATCGTAAAAAAAAGAGAGAAGAGGGCGAGGGAGGGGAGGAGGGCGAGGGAGGGAGAGGAGGGCGAGGGAGGGAGGAAGGCGAGGGAGGGAGGAGGGCGAGGGAGGGAGGAGAGGGAGGAGGGCGAGGAGAGGGAGGAGGGCGAGGGAGGGAGGAGGGAGAGGAGGGCGAGGAGAGGGAGGAGGGCGAGGGAGGGAGGAGGGAGAGGAGGGCTAGGAGAGGGAGGGAGCGCCGCCCGTGACAGCCGCCTGATGAAAGGCTCGCGGCTCACCCTGCAATTTGAGCCGATTACCCCTTCAACTGCAGGGGAAGCAGGCGGAGGAGGAGGAAAGCACTGGCCAGCTCGAAAATACCTCGGAGGCTGCCTGCAAAGGCTTCCTCTGCTGGGCCGAACAGGTTCGGTTTACAAAACCTTTTGTAGTCATAAAGGTGATTAATGGACAATGGGGCCCATAAACGATCACCTGGAGCGAAGCGGGGTGGGGGGGGGGAGAAACCCCACCACTCCGCCCAGGTAAAGCACACCGCTTCCCAGACTGCTGTGCCACAGCACTCGCGGGCAGGCGGCTCGGGCGTCACCGCCATCGGAGGCACGGGGAGAGGGGGCGAGGGGGCGAGGGGGCGAGGGGGAGAGGGGGCGACCCCCCCCCCCCTCCCCGGAACTGTGGCAGATGCTTGCATCTTTTTTTCACGAAGCACCACGTGATTTTTTGTTCGATTTTTTTTGTTTGATTTTTTTGGGTCGATTTTTTTAATACCAAAAATATTCAAACTTACCGGCGCTTCCACGAGTCGTTAAGATGTCTTGGGCATGCGAACGTATTCGAGGGTTTTCTGCTCCGCAGGTTGGGACCGCTCGCCCTCGAGAGCAGTGGGCTCTTTACTGCAGCCTCGCACCCCTTTGGATTCTCAGTCAGGAAAACAAATTGCATTTCGATGATTTACCTTTTCAAAACTAAATCTGGCCATGTCTGGCACCCCCAGAAAGGGCATTTCGCACCCCAATATAGGGGTGCGGTGCACCCCGGGTGAAGAACCACTCCTCTAGAGCAGCGGAGACGGAGGCGGAGTGGTGAACGGGGATCGGTCGGGAGGAGATTAATTGCGGCTGCGTAAGGCTGACGGATGTGAGTCCTTTGTCCAGCAGTGGAATGAGCATGGCGAGCGGTATCAATTACTCCGCCCGGCTGTGAGCAATCCTAGAAGGTCAGAAGGCCCTCTTCCCTCAATGCCTCACGATGCTAATTTAAATTCCATACGAGCCAATAAGGCGCGGAATGGTGGTGGAGCGGTTATAGCAGCCTGCACAATCAACCCGGTCAGCCGAGTTCGATTCCCAGCCATGGCTAAGTGATATCTGAAGCAGCACCCGGGC